TTTATGGTAACAATTAAGAGGTAACCTATAAAATAGTATTTTAAAACACTGCCTTTAATTAAACCAAAACAAAATATTTTGGATTTTCATATTTGGATACATTATACTGTGAGAATATGATTCTATTCAGTTTTATCTGATTCTTAACATTTCCTGTGTCAATTTTGTTATGGTTTATGGTCAAACAAGCAGATCTGAATTAAATTCAGTTTATCTTGAACTTGCTTGCTTGCAGTAGTAAATGACCACATTGAAGTATACTTGCTTAGAACCATGGGCTTTGAATATTCCATATTTTTAAAATACATTTGTTATTTGAAATGTCCAGAAATCTTTGAGACATGATCCCATCATCTTTTTAATAGTGTGAGGACTAGAACCTTGTTTTAAACCAAGTGTATAACATGGTTTGTCAAGGTGCAGTAGAAGTACTGCATGGGGCAAAGACAGTAGGAATTTATTACAAGCCTAGAAAAGAACAAGGGGGCTGATTCTGGGATGGAGCTGCTCCTCTGCTCTCTCTCTCCCTCCAGATCAGCAGATTAGAAGAAATGCACATTAAAAATACAGGCTGCTAATATTCACTCTTGTGGAAAACAACAACAGCCAGGGAATAAAAAAATACTGTTGTGATCATGTGATTTATGTCTGACTTGTTAAAAAGGCTGAATATCATGGACATTTAGATTCTGAAACTGTTTTTTCAAGAGCCCGGAGAAGAGAGCACACACTGCCCTTCTCAGGATCCCAGCCTGTCATTTTTATGAAATATTTATTCTTCTGGAATAAACAAGGCAATAATTAAGACAATGCAAAACATGTAAGTGGAATTGTTCCCCTTAGTCATTCTGTGTACTGCCACAATATGGCAGACCCACAGGAAGGTTTCCTTAAAAGACAAGAACCACACACACACACACAACCAGTTAATTGCAAGCTATACAATGCTTTTTGGTTCCTCTCATGATCAAAAAGCAGCTCAAGATTTATGACTTGGAACATTTTCACCAAAGCCCTGGAGGTTCTGAAAATAACACAACCTACTTATAAACTGACACGAGTAAGCTTTTTTAATGAATAAAATCCCATAGAAACAGAATATATTTAAACTCAAACCAGAATTATGATAATAATTCACATGAGAAATCACTTGGAATTTTAGCAAATGTTTTCAGTTCCTTGTTGTGATTAGATGGTCTAAATGGAGTACACAGTAAACGTCCACTGTGAAACTCCTCTGTTCCCATGTCAAACATCAATTTATCTGTTGTATTTTATGACTTACAATTTACACATATTGCTGCTTCAGGCTTTCAGAACAGTTCAGTGTCTGTTTTCTGGAGCATTTACAAGAAAGCTCAAAGCATCAAGACAAAAGTTTGGGGATAGCCCTTTTTTTTAGCAGTATACGAAGGGCGCCTCCCAGTATATCTGAGTGGCAGCAGGGTGGGATTGGTGGCAGAGTCCCAGGTGCAAGGTCTAGCAGCCAGTGGGGAAAGGGCACCTTGGCTCCTTCTCCGTGGTTGCAACCTGGCTTCTGAGGGAAGGGAAAGAGGCGAGTGGGGCCAAGGGCTTATGTTCCAGCCACACAGCACCCAGTCACTCTTGGTCTCCCTTCCTGCTGCTTCTTCAAGGCAACTGACAATGTTTGTTGGGATGACGCGCAGGACATGGGCTGCAGTGGGGGCAAAGAGCTCCATGGCTGCATCTTGCCCTGTGCACCGGCTGCGTTCAGAGGCTTGCTTGCATCAAGAGTGAGGAGCACTGGATTGTGCCCCCAGTTGCCTAAACTTGAAGATGACTCTTGCTTACCCCATGCTTTAAAAAATGTACATTTTTTTCTCATTTTGAACCTTAAGAACTGGTTCAAATTCAAGATTGATGCATGCTGAACAGAAGCAATTCCCCACAGCTTTAAAAAGGAAATCAATAATAGCATTTTGCTTTGGGTAGTTGTCCTTTCCTGGTCCAGAATTCCTCATCTAACCCTTCAATGTTTTAGTACCTCCTATTTCCTCAACTAGCCATAGCAAGTGGGAAAAGAATGAGCAAATATGAGTAGCCACAAAGAGTCTTTTGGATTAGGTGCTACTAAAACATTTACCCTAATATAAGCTTGTGTGGATTATATAAAACCTTGTGCCACAATAAATGTGGCCATAAGACTCATTGCTGCTTTTGGTGCAACAGACTAATGCGGCTGCCCCTCCAGAAATGATAAAAATCCATTCATCCGATATTGCCATTGAATAGTAGAAGACCAACTATTCAACTTCTTTTGCCATGTATGTTTGAACACGTGTTTCTTTACGACAAGAAACACATTGCTAAACCCAACCAACTGCTACTGCAGCCACTATTGAGCTAATGTTAGCAATTGGCTCCTGTCAAAGATACAACCTCAGGGCTACAGGGCACAGTGACCTTTGGTTTGGACAAGAAACAGAGTCCGCCTCTGGAAGAGGGCTGGATGCTTCGAACAGGCAGTTGTATTGGCTCAGCTTCACTCCCTTGATGCCCCTGGCCATCCATTGCCCTGACCTGACAACATGATGCAGTGCCTGCCTGCCCACCACCTGCCTCGTGTGGCTTTGATCCATCATTTAGGAAGGGCTCAGAGCCCAGTAGCAGAGTACAGCCTTGGGATACATGAAGACTCAAGTTCAGTGCATCACCTGCACCATCAGTGGGTGAACGAGTGCACTGGACCATAAGCAGCAGCTGCTAGGGGCTGCGGAAATAGCAGGATGGTGTTTGAGGCAGGGAGCAGCGAGTTAGCCCTGTGCAGGCTCAGGGCAACTGACTGGCCAGGAATGCCCTGTGTGGGCCCCTGATGCCCGAAGCTGCTGACCACACCTGCCACACTTCTTCACCAGCTGACACTGCTCTGATTAAAGAGTATTAGAGAGCAGGATCTGGGCTTCTGCCAGGAGCTTGGGGAGCTGCTGCTGGCCCAGCCCTGGAGACACCACCAGGAAGTACAGACAGATGTGTGCATGAATGTGTGCCCTGTGTGCATTAGGTATTGCTTGCACTCACTGTGCGCAACTTCCCTGAGCCAGTGCTTCGCTCAGGGTGCTCATCTACCAAGCACAATGCATCCTTCATGGGTTAGTAACTGTGAAGCTAAGACCAGCTATGGCTCCAGAGTGTGCCTTTCACAAGAGAAAGAAGTCCATTCCTGGAAGGTTCCTCCATCTGATTTTGGGGGATATGCCACAGCTCACCCCAGTCAGCAGGACCTCTGTGTAGCATTTTTGAGGAACTGGAGAGGCTGTCCTGAGGAGGGAGCGAGGAAATCCATGTTCACTGGTGCTGTGGGTCCAACTTAAATCTTGCTTCCCATTCAGATAGTACTGTCTGTACAAGTAAAAATACAATGGAACTCAGAAAAAAGTAAGGGGAGACCTGAGATGGGCCTTGCATGCTGTCAAGAGAGATAGGGAGAAAAAAATTCTCCCCTGCTCTTAATATCGGACTCATGAGTGGTCCAGGACTCAGGGCAGATAAAAGGAATTCCATCTTAACACAGTGGATCATTAAGCTATGGAATTCATGTTCACAAGATACAGTGAAGGCCACCCATCACTGTACAGATGGTTTAAATGGGGATTGGAGTATCAGATTCCTGGAGGGTAGGAGTATCAAAGGCTGCCAGTCCTGATGATTCTCTGATGCTTCCAGCCTCAGGCTTTGGTTAGTTGCATACAACACAAGCCATGTTGATTTATAAGCTAAGAACAGCTTGCCATGTTGTCTGAACTAGATTGTGGTTTGCCAGACAACATGAGAAAGCCACTCCGACTTGCAAGCCAGCATGGCTTATTATGCCATGTGAGCTCATCCAGTATGCTAACTACAGGAGGGAGGTGTGGGACTCACATCCTACTTGTGGGTTTTCTCACAGGAAACTGTTGGGCTGTTCTGCTGTACTAGGTGGACCTTGCTCAGATGCAGCATGACCCTCCTTATATTTTTCTTTCAACACCAACAGGAAAGTCTCCTGAATTGCTTTACAAATAGTTTGAGTGAGAGGGTTGTGCTCCTTCCTGGAGTTCAGGTTTAGCTCAGCTTCCCAAGCTCTCTGTCCAACAGTCTCTTCTAAAGCCAGAAGAGCAGAAGCACCTTATGGCTGGGGTGGGAAGTGGAGTGGCGATGGGCAAACTTTCTGAATAACAAAAAAGGGGCTTTTCCATCCAGGCTACTAAACATACAGTAACTGTCACATGCGCATTCCAGTGCAGAAATATTCCCCTTCTTTCACCATCCCGAATAGCTAAGCCTTCTCTTGTCCCAGCTTGCCACTCAGTAAATACCACGTGCCTGACCTGAACAGCGTAGTCGAAAACATGCGCAATCTGCCCTCATAAAACTCCCTCCTGCTTCTCAGCACTCAGTTTGCTCGCGGCAATCCCCTGAAGTGGTCACACCGGCAGCTTTGCCAGGATTCAAAAGAGCACACCTCCTGCTAACCTCTGTTCCACCCATGTTGAAATCTCTGGGCAAACCCAGAAGCAGATCTAACATTCTGGTTCCATGCTAACGGCAGCTCAGCGGGGTGGGGGAGCTGGCAATTCGTCTCGCCTGTGAAGCTGGGAGCTGGAATCCGCACTCAAAAAGCAAGAATGAGCCACCCTATCCAAAGATAAAGCAATATAAAGCCTCACCAGGTGCCCCGAGCTCCTTGAATTACATACAAATGTAGCAATAATTAAAACCTGGTAAAACAAACCAACCAACCGACCAACCAGACCTGACTGGAACCTTCTGGAGTGATGCAGTGCCGTGTGATTGTGGGCTGCCGATCACTACATAGTTACATAATCCATCCAGAAATCTTCCCCAGGCAGGTAGGCCAGTGGATATCTTTTTACTATTATTGTAAAGCTGAATTTTTAACTGCACCATCAACAGTATTTCTGAATCAGATTGAATAAGCAATTCTGGTTTATGGAATAAGGCAAAAAGAGTTAATCTGGAAAACACTGCCAACAATCTGATGAGATAGACATTTTTAATATTAAAAGTAAATGTAAATGTGTCTTTATAAACAATATGCATAAAATAGATCTGTAATAGTAAAGCTCTGTCTCTTATTAAATGTTTTCTTCACAGTAATTTCTTTGGTATGTAATAGTTTCCCTCTCAAAGAAATAGTGCAATTTGAGGAACAGACATGATGCCAATGGATTAAACATTCTATGGCCCTTAATATAAGTCCTTGTAAATTTCTTGCAGGAGTGGATGAAGGCTCATATCTGTCTCCGTTTTCTTTATAATTTGCAACAGCTGCACATGTTCTGTTACAATTTGTCTGAGGTCTGTCATTTTCTGCAACAATTTTGCAAACAGCTGTGACGACTCCGGGTGATTCAGCTTTAACTGGAGTTCTAAAGCTTGCAGCAAATTGTCTTGAATATCTTCAATGGGCTTCACATTCAGTAATCCAGGGCGATCTAAAAATTGACAAATAAGTTTAATTATTTTAAAGATAGAAATTCACATTAATTTGTAGTGGCTTTACAGCAAAATGTCATGGCCAATACAGACATTACCATAAATATAGCAGTTGTTTCCCCATGTCTAATTTTTACTCTTAAGTAAGCATATGAATTGATCAGAATCTGGACCCTAGAGCGTGAGTGGAGGTGCGTTAAGATCTGAGCCTCCCCCTGCTCCTACTCTGGAGTAAAAATGAAGGCAAATAATAAGGAAAGAAAGGTTGCTATGTCTTCCAATGGATACTTAAAATACATTTTCAGTCTGGTATGTATGTGCTGCTTCTTGCATCAACTCTGCCTCCTGTGGAAGCGTGGCCTGCCACATGCAGGAGAGGGGCTGTGGTTCACAAGGCGATCCGCAAGCAACAAGGAAGGCTTGCTAATGGAGTGGATGTCCTAGTTCAGTCTCCTTGACCAGCATGCTGCACCAGGCTCAGAACCATAACCAGCTGGTGCCCATTCAGGTTTGGGTTCTGTCCTTGGGTGAGAAGTATGTTCCTCCTGAAGCAGCTCTTGGGAGGTGGGGAGGGGCCCCGTGCATTCCCTGAGGCAGCTCTCAGGGGCAATTCCTAGTGAAGACCCCACATTTCACATGGGTCGGTTCAAAGAAAGGCTTGATTGGTACCTGGCACAGGCCCACACCTGAGTAGAGATGCTCAGGTGAGCCCCTTGGAATTGCTTCTGCTCATTCTTCTCCCGCTTGCACATCAGCTGAAAACATGACACAATGCTGCTGATAATTGTGCAAAATGTTCACATCTTGACATGTGACTTATCGCTGCCTCTCCTGCTAATATATAACTTCTGGAACTCACTTGCCAACATGAAGTGACATCTTGAGAACAGAATTCTCTGCAAGCATACTGCAAAGCCAAAGTTAACCAGTAAAACTACTGCTAGGCCATCCAACTAAATGGCTGGGTGTAATCTATTTAAGGTGCTTCAACCCACTTTGATTGCTTTGGGGGATGGCATTAGGTGCAGATAGGAAATAGGACCCCTAGGGTATGGAATGGGTTTCCATGGTTCACTTTGGTGAGAGTGTTCAATGCACATGGTAGGCATGTCATTAGCAGAGTTGGCTGGAGCTGGGGGTCAGACTAGATTATTATTATTATTATTAGAGGCCCCTTCTGACTCGCTCTGTTTCTATTAGGTGCAGATAGGAAAATACATAGTCCTGTCTGGGTGGGTTCGACTGACTTAGCTTAATAATCTACTTTATAGTTTTCCAGGATGTATACCTTCAGGACCTGAATGAGAAAGCTTGATACCTATAGCACTTAGTAACTATAAAGAAGTGAGCACTATTCTCACAGCACAAATAACCACATCACTAATTTCTTGGATGAGAGGGAAGTGGGTTGAGATTGGAAAAGTATGACTGCAAGGGTGATATGAAGCTCAAGGTTATGAAATGTCAAGTTCCCTTTTTTCACTGTGAACCAGACTTGTGAAGGGATATCAGACTTCTGGTTGTGAAAAAAACCATTTCTCTGTCCTTTAATTAAACTTGTTGAGAACTGGACAACAAACGTCTAGATCAATTAATCATGTACCCCAGTTGAACTTCAGGTAAGAGAATTTACAGCAAGAAATTTCATACCATTAACTATTTTAAATATAATGAGTTTTTCTTATGAAAAATAGCAACCAATGTGATTTTCTGAAGGGTATACCATGTTGTATGGATGGAAGAAGTAAAATAAAAATACAGAAGCCAGCAAGCAGATCTCAGCTATATCTCTTAGGAGAAGACTGGGCTGAACTAGCTCTTGTGAGGATTTATAATCGGATCCAAAAAGGGATGGAGGCAGGCTGATGTAAAAAGAACATTCCATAAATCAAGACTGGGTATGTTTGATGTCTCTTTAGCATTGTGACTTTCACAAGCATAACAGTTGTGACTGCCCAGACAGTAATGCACAGCAAAATATGTCCCCTCAACAATTCTTTATAGAAACCTTTATGATGAAATCCCTACCCCCGAAATCACCTCCCCTGAGCAGGACTGCCAGTCTTGGGGTGGCTATCAATTTGTTCTTTGCCAGGTGAGATTAGCCATATCATGAGTAAGAAAAGTTTGGGAATATGAAGACAAAATGCAAGCAGAAAAGCCATCCAAGGAGGAATAGGCCCACATATGAGCACCAACGCCATTTCTGAAGTTAGCCGTAACAGATTGTAGCTATTGGAACGGGCAGTGCCAGTCGAACGGGTTCCCCCCTGCAGTCCCCTCACCTCAAAGAGTCCTCCCAAAACACCCCCCCGTGACAGAGGGGGGCCAAGAGAAAGAGGAACCATGTCGCATGAGGGGAAGTTTGCTGATGCAGCGTCAGCCTAACCCAGATGCAGTGATCCAAAGGGTCTCTAAATCTAGCTGTTACATATCAGACAATACAGTAAGCAGCTGCTCAAATATGTAATGTGGCAGCTCTTAATATTTTAGAGAGGTTACTGATATGGTGTTTTGGGGGCAGCATTGCTTTAAACAGCTTACTGCCAATCTGCAGGCTTCCACTGAACATCTGGCTATGACTCACCATGCAGTCAGAGGCAATTCAAGCAAGCCTGCAGGCTGCCTCCTCCATTCCCACCAGCTTGTATTTAGCAGTACAGTCCGATACCTGCCTACTCTGAAGTAAGTCCCACTGAGTTCAGAGGTGCTTACTCATAGGTGATTAGAGGACAGCCACCTTAAGGTTTCTTCAGGAAAAAATGGCCTACTGCTCTCAAACCCTAATCTCAACCCCAAGCCAACTAGCTGGGAGCTGTGGCCCTTTTTTCCATTTAAACATGTATAGGATTTTGTGCTTAATAATGCTAATGCCAAGTCCTTTCTAAAGTTGCTTCCAGATGGGGCATGTGATTGACCTGCTGCATTCCTGGAATTTTCCAGGGGGACTGGACAGCAGTGTCTTCTACTGCTAACCCTACTAAGTTTCCCTGTTAATCAGGTCTTTTTCCTTCCCATAAAACAATCTGTTAAACAATAAAAACAGAAGAGCTGCCCCACAACTTATGACTGGTAGTGGTGGGAGTCATTTGGTGGAAGTCCAAGATCAGTCCTATTTAGAATGGGCCTGCTGCAATGGCAAAGACAAGTTAGGCAAAGGTGGGATATAGCCTCTTGTCTGAATTTTATTTTCCTGAAATCACAAGACAGAACTGGAATTTGAAAAGGTCTGCTGGAATGCTTACGTGCAAACATGCTGTTTTCTAAAGACTGTCTGACCAGTCCTAAGAGGAGCCATGTTGAATCGGAGGAAGGTTTTCCCAGTCCAGCATTCCATTCACATGGAGGTACCAAGGGATGAACTTCTGGGTGCCTTTAAAAGCCTGCTGCACTTCATTTCAAGGCCATGGACTTTAGAATACCAACATAAACCTTAAAATGACTCCTAGAACATTACAAGTGATGTGACAGCTTTAATAATAAAGCTCAAATGATGGGTCTGAAGCTGAAATGAACCTGATGCGAAGGTTCACTTGGATGCTTTTTCCAAAGCCCTTTTTATTCTTCAATATTCTCAAAGTTAACCGTATTTTCTGTTAATTGTTCACTTATGAATTGTTCATATGGATGATTTTATGTTTTATGTACACATGCAAAATTCCTGTGCATTTCTTATCTCTAAAAGCAATTGCTACTGAAAGTCGTTGGAGCAAGCGCAGGCACTGGGCTGAGGAGGCTTATCACAGGGCCGGTATGACTCAGCAGTTGTGTGCTTTGCTTTAATGAGTGTAACCACAAATCAGGTCCTGAGTCCAAAGAAATTAACTCTGGCTGTATGCATGATTAAAATGTGCTTTACTGTTGCAAAGAGATCAAAAGAGCACATTTTCAGGAGACAGAAGCGTGTGTGTGAGAGAGAAACTGCTTGGCTTTTATTTTTCTTAATGAAGGCTCTTTTTCACCTTGTGCGAAATATACCTCTAAAATGACACAGTTCAGAGTTCAGAAACTATTGTAAAAATGTGATAAGCAGAATCAATAAAAAGTATATGTTAGGCTGGATCCAGTATAGGCTGCCTGCGGACAGAAGGCTCCCTTCTAGGGTGGCTAAGTGCCTTATTATGGAAAAGGTAGTCTTCTCTATAGCTGGAGACCTGGCAGAGGACATCTTCTCTTGGGGGATCTATCCTGCCCAAACAGGGTTTAAAGTCAAACTAAAAATTCTTACGGGTGGGGATTGGGGGCATGTGAGCTACCTATCAATAATTAGTACCTTTGTAGAAGAATGAGCAGGCACAGAGGTCACCTAGTCAGTCTTTTACATTATGAAGAGACAGATGGTAATTCTATAACACTTATAGTTGTTATTGCTATATTTGCATCTAAACATATACACGAGCATATGCAAATAGTGGGCAAAATTATGTCTTCTTTTTGGTTCTCCTGGGAGTCACTATTTAACATGTTCACCATATTTTCTGTAACCGAAAACAAAATGTTTCTCAAGTTTACAGTTACAGATTGGATACTTGTACAAGTAAGAATAAAGGAGTTAACAATCTGCTTCTCATTTTTAAGGTTTTCATTAATATAGGGAAAATCTCCCAAGAATTATATTTTAAAAAGCTATTTTACGCTTGAAACATTTCTGTGCAGTTATCAAAGAAATCTAACTGGTATCCTACTAGCCTTTTTTTGGTTAATTCAAAGCCTTCGGGGATCAATTTGTTCCAAAACCTTCCTCAAGGAAAGACATTCTGACAGAATGTGTACATGCCGAGTATGACTTGAGTTAGTCTAATAAAAACATGTCACTGAGCTGCAATTTCAAGTGAATGGGAACAAAGTGACAACTAATAATTAAGTCTCTTTAAATCTGGCAGATGTCAAATCATGCAAAGCAGCAAACGCAGCTGGGAAAATGAGTCGGGGAGGGAGGTGGAATGATGAGCTTTGGGGTTGCTTGGAGAGGCAGCGCTGAAGCCACGCAGGTGGCAACAAGCTGCTGCAACTCGCTTCAGTGCACAGTGGCAGGCATCTGGAAGACATGCACACAGTGAGTATCTGCACTTGAAAAGCCTGGTCCTACTTCTGGGGAAAGGTTCCTGCTCTACACACACACAGTCCCAGGTTCAGCTCCTACCAGCTCCAGTTAAAAACAAAGAAACCAAACCAACCCAAAGGATGGGGAGCTGATGATGTGAAAGAGTTCTTCTGGAGTTCTTGGAGAGCTACTGCCAGCCGGAGAAGACAGTACTGAGCTAAACAGACAGATGCTCTGGCCTGGCACGAGGAAGCGTTGTATGCTGTATTGCTAATGGAAGTGTCAGGGCTGTGCCAAATCTAGCAGGCTGATATGACCCAGGAATGAAACGGTTGGTCAGGCCGAAGCGTACATTAATACTGGAGGGTAAGCCAGGAGACTGGACCGAGAAGCAACTCAAAGCAGGATTAAAGGGCAATCAAGGATGCGGGAACACAACAGTAACCAGAGCTCAGGAAAATCTTGTTGCTCAAGCAGCAATGAGCTCTTATGCACCTTCCAGTCCGGGAGGATCCAGAGAAAAGCACATATGGGTGGCATCAATCCAGGGTACGAAGGGCCCCATGCAATGTGGAGAGCTATGGGCAATCCATGGAAGGCAGGAGTGTGGAGGCCAGGGTTGCATCCGCACTCCCTCACTGCCGAAATACTTAGACAGCGGATGTGTCGGTGCTGCTTGTGAGGTGAAGGCACGGCCCAGAGGAGCCTCCTGCACCCCTGGCTGAAAAGGCACAGTTGTGACTCAGAGGGGCAGCTTCCACAGAAAGAGCCACACCAGCTGCAAGGGTAGAAGGAGGGTGTCCACACATGGCACCCCAGCTCTAACCTTAGAGCCCTTTTCCGAGGTTGGAGCTGGGGCTCTGAGTTTCCCACGTCCACCTGGACAACCTCCACGTGCCAGCAGACTGCAGCCCAAGTGGGGAACATGCACTTCCGTGACTCAGCACCCAGTGCAGCTGCACACAGATCCCAAGGTACCCGGTTTTCTTTCCAGCAGCCACTGCCAGGAAAGATGCTTATAACCTCTCAGGAACCTCCCAACTGCACATTTCATATGCAGTTAAGAGGCAGATACTTAATGGACAGAAGCTTAATTTATTTCTACACCCTTATACAGACATTTCAGTGACTGCCAAAAGTGGCCCCAAGAGTGTTTGCAATATCTGGCTTGCTGCTCCTTCCCTTTCTCCCTATGAATTGCACATCAAGCCAGAAGTTGCATCATGCATGCCACGGGGAGAGGGGGGTAGTTCCTTTCAATTACTCTTCTATCCATGGTGGCCTCTTTTTAACTAAAGGAATATATCACGTAAATCAGACCCCAGAAGACGGGCGCCTCCTCGGTGGAGTGCATTATGATACACTCAAGGCAGGTCCACTCAATTTGTGATCCAGCAGACTGGATCCATCTTGTGAGCCACTGAAGGCGGCATGCCAGGGATTCAGCAACCCCCATTTTCATGTCCTGCCTGGGACTACAAAACCAGGAATGTTATGAAGCCCCTGGAGGCTCCAAAAGACATGGCTGGAATGCTGAATTTGGCTTGGAGGGTCATCCCTTGTGCATTCCTGCTTCAAAGTTCATTCTAGCCCAAGGATAACCATGTTTTTACTGTCAGACTTACCTCCACTGAGAATAATGACAGCTATAAATATTGCCAGATCGCTGTCATCTAATTCCAGTGCATTGAATTTGACAGCAAACTCAAACTTGGGCTCCATAAAGTCACAAAAGGGTTTCCGGAGACTCTTCAGGAACTCCCGAGTCATGAATCCTTGTCCGTCGGATATGAGAACACCATCTTTGTTCATCATGGAGGCCAGGAGTGTATAGATGATCTCATGGACACCATATTTCAGAAGCGTTACTTGGTCATTCAGGTCTAGATTCACAAAGCCTGGAATGTTTTTGGCAAATTCTGTGATCTCCTGAACAGCCTCCACTGAGCGAAACTGACATCGCTGGAAGATGCGGATGGCCACCTCTTTGTTCTGCTCTTGCATGGGGGCCAAATGTTTGCACTTGATCTGATCTTCTCCCATCATTAAGGAATTCATGTCATAAATGACAAATGGCTGAAAAAAACAATGCAAATGACTTTAGGCGTCTTTCCTGTATGAAGCACACTGTACTACTGAAACAAAATACATGGACACTGAGGATGATGAATCATGGTTTAAGAACAGGAAAAAGTTGACAGAAAATGAGTAATACCTAATTACCCAATTTTAGGAATTACAAGCGTCTGAGAGCAATGAAAGTGGGGCAGTGTTAGGATGTGTAAACCATCTACAAGGTGGGCAAGTCAGGCCATAGTGTTTTCCCATATTTGTAAGGGGATCAAGCTTTTAGAGAAAGGCAGTTCCACAATTCAGTCATGAAAACAAACTGATTTTCACTGTGGAGAAGCTGAATTGGACTCTGTAACTTAAGAATGTATTTTGCCATGGCCAGTGAATGCTGTACATTCCACACAAAAAAGCTGGTTACATAGTAATTTTAGGCTGCTCAAACTACTTGAGCATTACCTACTAATCATTTACATGTAATGCACATGTGACCACAATTAAAAGGAGGAACATAACTTTAAATTGTGTCCATAGAAAACATTTTGACTTTTTAGAGCACAAAGTCCATACAGTACAGATCATAATAAAAGTTTAACTCATTATTTACTGAATGAGTACATTTACTCTGATTGCAGTAACATCAGGGCTTATACACATATGATTGGGAAAGCACGGTAATTTTACAAGGAGTTACTTTCCATATACAGTTTTATACTGCTAAACCCTATCCTAGTACTTGGTCCTTGAATGCTCAGAAACAAGCAGTGTCACATGAGTGTATGCTATATAAATTGCATAAACAGTACGTTAACAGGGTATTTAAAATGTCCCAATGTCACTTCCAAGGTCCAATTCACCTAGTTTGGCTTAGCTCACCACACATATTCTCTGGCACATTCCCCAAAACCTACCACAGAAATCTTTTGAAAATGTTGCAGAAATAACTATAATGGCATAGCAAAACCTCCAAACTTATACACTGAATTTGGGCTACAGTTGTCAGACTATTTGCTACTTAGGAATACTGTCTAAGAGCAGAGTACTATTTGTGTTTAGACAGAGAAAAGTTGGCTGGAATACGCTGGGAGCTGAAGGCACCTTTCCTGTCTAAACATGCACAGGATTGCACCTTAAAGGTATTCCACACAGCAAATACATATGTAAGATAGAGAAAAGAAGAACTAAAAGCTAATATACTTGTACTACATCACAAACTGTGATAATATTTTGATATAACATTGAGCACCTACTTCTTTTTGCTCTACCTGGCAGTAAGCAGGGTTGTTAGATTGCTGCAAATCAGAGAACCGATGTGTTGTGCAATTGTTAGGATAAGGGCTAGAAAATCTGGGAACTCAACTTCCCCTCTGCTTTGCAGCCACAAAATTGTTTCAGGCAGCAGGGGAGTCCACCAGAACAGATTCAGCAAACATGCATTTGGGTCAAAAAGGAAAGAAAGTCGGTCTCCCATTGTGTGAGTGGAAATACATTCATATAACAAAGGATTTTTGGCATCTTGTATGTTACTCCGAGTTCCTCAGGTGGGTAAATGAAAAATATATTCCCCCACCCCAAGTTCGGTAACCCAGCAATCTAAAAGCAGAATTAAGGAATACAAAAATATGCTAATACGAATTTATCTGGATTTTAAGATATGACTGTACCTATATCTGACTTGAGCTGGTTTGGGGTAGTGGTAGTATTATGGGCCTAAGATACAAGGAGCCCAAGCTGGTCACAGACAAGTCACTATCATCTCAAACAACGTGCTTCTGGGGTTAGTTGGGCAGAATATTATGCAATGGAGAAGTACACTAACCTGGGCAAGCTGACTTAATAACCCGGGTTCAGCTAATTCGTTAACTTAAAATTACCCCATATTATAGTTCAAACAGCATTTACTGGCTTGTCGCTTATGATGGCATTACTTTCTGAATCAGATGGGTTAAAAATTGTAATAATAAATCCAACAACAGGAGGAATACTACCAGTTTATTCAAGCTTAGGAAATCAGATCAATCGGCATAAAGGTACAATAGTGCAGAGAATAGAGAATGAAACCAGTGGATGGATGGAAGGCAGCAGGCAATGAATTGAGAACACATGGTATATATGGACCTCAGAACTATGAAGACCTGAAAAAGGTCATCAGTTTGCTACTGTACACTGCTCCTGGACCCCCTTTAGTCTAACTTTAGATACGTACTTCACGCTTTGTGCTATTGACCGTGTGGTCTAGAAACTCTCCTTTTAAACAAGAGCAAGACTGTCAATAATCTGATGAATGGATCTGGATTATCTACAGCTTGGAGACTAGAGTCTTATAGTCTCACAGCCACACAATAAATCAGTCTCCTTGCAGCTAAGCCTAAATTCTTCATTTGAATTTTTGCCACTACAGATTTGAGCTGGAGAATTGTATACTATGCTTAGGTCCAATTAATACATATACATTGGCCAGAATGTATCCAGTGTTAAGCACTTTTAAATCCTGTTTATTTCAGCCTGAGAGATTTAATCTTGTGCTTAATTATTCCACAGATTCAAAGTTTAGTGCAAAGGAAGTACTCAACTTTGGTTGGATTGTGCCTATTACACTGAAGGGCAATGCTATTCAGATGTACAAAGAACTGCCATTTATATTTAAGAGCTTGATTTCTAAAACACTTAGGTAAAAGTGCTTGGTTTTAGCCTCTGGAATCTTAAGGAGTTGAAATACAGAATGCATTCTATTGTCTAATAAATAGTGGCATAATAAAACATGTTGAGGACCAATTCTGTGCACAGATTATCATAACTTATTGGAAAAATGAAGAAGCATAAGAAAATCAGCAACATTCTATATAATTCTTGACAGTATATAATGTGTTTGATAGTGTATAAAAATTATAGTGTTTGATAATTCTGTTAAGGTGATTCAGAGTAATATAAATGGTATGCATAAATGTACTTTTTCACACAGTGCATGCTTTTACATTTCTTTTGCACAGTTTATCTATATATCTGATCTATCTGAGAGCAGTCAAAAATATGGGTGTTCTCGAGTGAGGCTTTTATCCTGCAATTTCTAAAACACAGAATTTTACTGGGGGGCGGGTGGGTTTTTCCATCTGTAACACCTCTTTCCCATCACTTCCCATTGCTGTTGCTTCTTTTGCTTACCACAGAAAGACCTCTATGAAGGATGAAAAGAGAGAATTACTGCCTTCTGACTGGCACTGTTAGGACCTCTGTGTCCAGAAGCCAAAATCTCTGCTCTCCCATTTTGCCCAGCTGTAGGCAATGTATTTAATTCCTTTGCTCACAAGAGTGCAACCCAGTCCTTACTGCATACTTTATAGACCAGGGTGCAGATTTCAGAGGATTAGAGACTTTTAAAGTATGGGCTGCAATCCACAGGGTTTCAGCAGCAAACCACTCAATAGCACTGGAATGGTTTTATTTTTCAAGTTAAATGCAATTTTGGTGACTCTCTGTAGCAGTGATAGAGTTCTAAGCAAATGTAGCTTAGAACCAAGCTAAATTTGGGCACTCTTTCCACTAGTTATTTATTTTTTCTTTTAAGAGGGGGCAGTGGGATAGGAGGGACTAGAACAGGGTGCTGGTAGGAGGGACTAGATGCAGCCCACAGGGTCTCCTTGTTATAAATCATCCTGAACTGAGGCATTTATATGTGAAAGAGTTCTATGGTTACTCAGGTTTCAAGTGTGAAGCCCAAGCTGTTTTAAGCCTCATGTGTGAATATACCTCAAAGTGGCTTCCTGTGGACAAAGCTAACTCATGTTCAAAACAGACACATCACATCAAATATGAGGGGTTCCTCCTCATACAAATAAAACCCAAATACTTCATCAAAATGTTTTCAGGTGGTAAGCCAATCCTTTCTGCATCACATTTTGAAAGGAAATGCAAATTATGCTGGCATAATACAGAATATCTTTTAAGGAATGGCTGATATTTATGGATGTGCTAATTATATATTGCCATTAGTAGTAAGAGAGGCAGAGTAAAAGTATAAGGCTAATAATTTAATCAGAATAAAATTAGCACCCAGGATGGTAAACAGGAGAACCGAGATTTTGCAGATAACCAGAGAAATTATGCTATGCTATATTTTAGCTTAGGCAAGGATAACATTTGTTGGTCCTTATTGATATTTCCACAATCTTTTTCAAAGTCATCATAGTATGGTATTATTTACTTCTTTTACACAGCAACTTAAATATGGCAGGATATTCAGTAAACAGAATTAATGGCAAACTCAAATTCCACATTATTTCTAAATAATAGGCAAATACAGCTGCCCAAAGAGAAACATTTTCTAAACCTGATGAAAACTGATGACCTCCAATTCAATTGTCTCCATTCTTTGTCAGCATTTCCTTACTTGCAAGGATTTTCCTCATACAGTTTCACTAGGGCTGAAATTCAGATGCATTTTAATCATGTAATCATAGGATATTTGCTTCATCTTTTTAGGGTGCAATGCTCTGAACTTGAGGCTTATGGGCATCCTACACAAAGCAGGAGACACAGGGCACTTCCACAGTTTCCCTGCCCTGCAAAATGGCTAGATGGCTGATTTTGACGGCAATGCAATATTATGGGCAAGAGGCTGGACACTGCCAGGATGCAGTGCATTTCGGTGGTGCTGGTCTCTCCCCGCCCCCCCCCCCCCGGACTTTTGTGTCCTGAGAAAAGTGGTCAGCACAGTTCTTTCCATACTGGCTGGGAAGGGCGGGGGGGGGGGGCAGTCCGAGCGGGGAATCCCAGCTCCAACATCATGCGTGCAGTAGAGTAGGCAGCATCTCTTGTGTGTGAGAGAGAAAGGCAAATGGCTCTTGTTCAGGACTGTGCTTGCCATCTGCAGCTGCGTTAAAAAATAATGGGGAAAACAACTGACCTCAACTGTGGGGAGTTTTGTCCATGAAACAGGGACACTCTTGGGTTCCCCATCCCCTGAAAACCTACTCAACAGTCTTCAGTCTCTTTCTGTGGAGAGTAGGAGAGGAGCTGCTGGATCAACTTGCAAAATAAATCTGTTCCCTGATTAATCAGGGAAACTTTTTTTAGTGACTGTCTGAGGAGTGCCTCAAATGTTAGGGCTTTTTTTCTGTCCAAACAGTAGTTTATGCTCTAATTTCTTTTTAATTCATTGAGCTAGTTCAGTTAAATGCCAGAACTCTCATTATAATGGCAGTGAGGCTCTATGTCATGAAGGGCTGAGCATGGCTTTGATGTCTAGAGTGAAGCCACAAGGGCACCCAGAAGCGGCATATGCCTGTGGGAACACATGTAGATCCGCAGCTCACACAGCATGTGGATGTTCCCTATTCACAAAGGGGTTTTGTAAATAAAATAACATTTTCTTTTCAGCATGGAAAACAGATGAGCTGATCTGAGCTCACCATCTGAGCAGAAAAATGGCCACCACATTTTACTATGAAGTGCCACACTCTGCAGAGACTGGTGTATGGACCACGGTGAATTAGAAGAAAATAGAACCAGAAGCTGTAACTGCCCAAAAATGGATCTTCAGGGACCCAGCTATCCTATGTGGTAGATCGCGGCCAGGATGCTTGCGGTGGGTATTACAGCTTATTCTCTAACAGATAACCCCACTGGATATTGTGGGAGATAACCTATGGAAAAGAGGTGACGGTGCAGGAAGACGTGGGGCTTGACAAATTCAGAAAGGTTATGCTGACCTTCACATTCTTGTACTGGATTCAAATATTTTATTAGGTTATTTCAAATAATGTTTACTTATCCTATCTAAAAACATTTCCTGTGTTTTAGCCATGACTTGGAATCTGCAACTGCCAAACGCAGACTTAAAAAAAAAAAAAAGATCACCTACACCCCCCCCCCCCCCCCGCTTTGCCACACTCTTCAGTATGGTAAATCATTTGCTTGAAGAAGAGAATAGAAATAGCGGGAACTAACTGATTTGTCTGTTGTCTTTCCTGTCAAGATTGCCCTCGCCTTGGCTTTGGTCAGAGGGAAGGACTTGATGTATGAATCATACAAGAGCTTGGCAAGGGCTCGCAGATCAGCAGACTCGGGGTTCAGCTGGTCGATGTCACTTGAAATCTCCGCCAGCAGCTTCTCCTTCTCTGCCTGTGGCATTCGCCCGAACCTGATAGCTGAAGAGTGAAGGAAAGGAAGATGTTACAACACTAACAAGATGAGCCTAGCACAGATACCTGCCGCTGTAACGACTTTTTCCCACTGCATTTCCCTGCTTCACAGAATGGAATTTTGATGGTAAAAATGCACTAAGCATAAGGGAAACAGATGAGCCGTAAAGCCATAAACTGTGCAGGCAGCAACTGATCCTGTAAAAGAGACAATGATGGTAGCATCTGGGCTCTGTGACACTGGTCTGCAGTTTTACAACAAATGGATAAATTATGAGGTTCCCCGGGAGATTTCAGAAATACTTTGCTGGAAACCACAGAGCTTGACTAGTGTCATGCCTATGTGATCGTTTCTTGCATTCTCATCTTGGTGGTTTTGGACTAAACCCAAAATGTGGGAAGTAGGAGAAAGCAAAGCAGGACTACTGTATAAAGTGGAACTGTCAATCATCAGTAATATAAATACCGGTAAATGCATTTAAACCACTTTGAACCTTAAGAGGAAAAGATCGGAGTCCCTGGAAAGAATATGGGGCAGGGAGAGAAAGAATCACGGTGTGCAATCCGCTTTTCATAATATTCTTATCTCAGCTTTCCCTTCTCATTTCCCTGTGCCCTGCACAGCCACTTGGCACTCTGTCCCTGTATAGCCAAAGCAGGGGCATTTATTTTGGGATTCCTAGATCTTTCCTGTTATGCAAATACTTGGCTCACACTTGGTTACACTGTGTTTCTGGGTCAGAAATAGCATTTTCCTCTCACCTGTGAATAGATTTTGATTGCAAGACAAAAAGAAACAAACAACAACAAATTAAAAAAACCCACATGGAAGTCATTGAGTAGTTGATTGCTCAACCGATCAATGCTGGCTTTATAATTGCAAAGAGGGGCCTGATTTGTTCCGCATCTCCATCATATGTAACTTCCAGTGACTTGTAAGTGGGGACCAGCCTACTTCTCTCATGTTAGGTCTCTTTTGTAGCCATCCTTTATGATGTTGTCTGCCCAGAAAGGATGCAGGAAACCAATGACCACTTAGTAAAGTGCAAATTTAGGCTGCTTCCTGAAAATACAGTATACCCATGAGAAGTCGCGGTTCAGCATTCGTGGCCTCAGTCTTTTGCGGAATATTCCGTGTGGCGGCTTGCTCGTAAGGAGATCGTTTTCGCTGAGTGAGTCCAAGCTGATTGCCTTGTGAGTAAGCATTGCTAGCAAGGAGATTGGTTTGGACTCACTCGGAGAAAACGATCTCTGCGCGTGCCCATCTCTGCCCCTGCCTCACCACGCGCATGCACCTGCCCCCCGGCCTGCGCCCCCCGCCTACACTGCCTTCGTGGTTTTTCACAATTCGCGGGTGCTCTAGGAACATAACCCCCGTGAATTTCGGGGGACTACTGTATTCCATCTACTATTTCTTCCTATAGAAATGTTTGAATAATTCCTTACTGATACTTATTTTGGACTTTAACCTGCAGTATAATTTTTCCCTCCCACAGAGACAGTATGTGTATTTACATAGTTGCCACCAACAGTTGCTAGTGAGAGATTCTCGTCACACTGCCCACTTTTTGTCTTTGGGAAAAATGCTCTCCCACAAATCTTAGAACCTCTTAACATTAACTATAGCGTTTGCATGCATATAATGCCATCATCTGAACAGGTTGCTCTTGTTCTTTTCTGATGTGTAGTTGCTACATCAGAAATGGCACGCAAGTCCACATCCGGTCCTTTATCTACAGTCAATTAATTCCTTTGTAGATGGTAGCGTGAGTCACTCTTGCTCACAGAGCCCACTGATTTTACATATACTGCTACAGGATCAGTGAAATTCCTATAATCAATTCTGAGCTACAGTACATACTTGCTGCCAAGTACAGTGTGACTCAACTCAAAGCAACAGTTCTCAGGGCAAGGGAAGAAAGTCCTTCTGGTCTAATTGTGTTTATTCATAATTTGCATGCATTTGAAATTTGTCTGATATTGGGAAAGCTTTCCATAGCTTGCCTCTTATGTGACTCAGACATCTTGGGCCTTTTGAACTCTGGAAGGACAGTTTATTTGGGATACCATTTCCTCTTCAGACAGAAAGCACCAAGCATACACACTAATTGTTCTCGCGCAGTATTCTTTTACAGAACAAAGCAGAACACACCCTCGCATGCAAAACATTATTGGAGATCCATCATGAAAGAAAAAGATCAACAGAAGTTATTTAATTCCAGCAAGAGTACATTGGCACTGGTTAAAGTCATATTGTTCTCAGTCATACTAAAGTGCCACGATGGTGACTATGGGGAGAGGTTTGTAATGCAACTGAAAAAAGCTTCACACATTGAAGGGGAAAAATAGAAAGACTATCTTGCATTATTTCCTTCATTGACACTATGCAGTGGTTTTGCATCATGTTTGTCAAGCAAATCAACCCTTTGCTAAATTTTGTTGATTTTTCCTAGGGATACTGGGATTACAGCCTTGATTATTATCTTGCTACAGAGAAAAGGTAATGAGAAAAAATGTGCATATCCAGTTGCTGGCAGGTTTAAAATATTAAAATACTGTTTTCAAGCATTGTGGAGAAGTTAGGGATGCCCCCCCTTCACATTACGCTATGAAGGTGCTTTGGCCTCCATCATGATGTCCATTTTGTGAAGTCTCTGTGATTTTCCAACACTTCTTTTTAGGCAGAGACCTCACATGGTTTCTGATTCATGTGATTAGGGCCTGATGTGGAATTCCCAAACTCCCAATTCTCAGAAGTGTATATGGTGGTTATGTATGATCTAGGATAAAGTCATACTCTTTTCGGGCTCAAAACTTATTCTAGGAGTAAGCAACCTGTAGCCCTCCAGGTATTTTGGCCTACAACTTCCATCAACCTAAATAACTGGAGGGGCATGAATTACCTACCTTCCTTGGTTCTATGACTCTGAAAAGCTTTGTGCTCCCTACAGATGGTGACTGTATTATTTATAGTCTTCATTTCCTCAGGACAATTCCATGCTCACCAAACTTTATCGCTCGCAACAAAGCAGACAACTGACAATTCTTGTGTTCCTATGCAACTCTACCATATTTGCCTGCAATAAACTCCCAGCAAAGCACACAATACCTTCAATGATTAGTGCAATGATCAGTGCAATAAAGTGATTAGTGCACAAGCACTGGAGGTTGGCACATGTTGCAATTCCTTGTCATGCAGTTTTCTTTCCCCAGTCACAGGAATTGGAGCCAACAAGAAAGGGAACTAATGGGAGTTTCAGACAACCTAGTTAGGGTTGTCTGGAACATTATCATGTCTGAAACATTAGACATTAGACATGTAGTCTTCATATCAGATTAAAAAACTGATGTGGTTGTTTTCAGCAATCTACTCAGGTTAATTGATTAGGGAAATGAGTAAGAACCAATAAGAACCACAATGCAGTTGAAAGGTCTTCAGAACTTTTCATTGATTAAAACTATTCTTGAAAATCTTTATTTCTGTCAATAATTAGCAGTCCTTCCATTATGGTATTTCAGAAAAGCTAATGGATTTAACCCTTGGGTCATGCTACTGGCAGGGAGCGGATCTTTAAGAGTTGGTAGCTGTCCCTTTGCTATAGTACTGCTGGTTCTTCTTGTGCTGAAAAGCCGAAGTAGCATCTGCCTATCAGTATTTCTGAAACTCTGAAAAGCCACAAGCAATTTATACCGTGCTTCTTCCAAACAAAATATGCACTAAACTAGAAGCACATGAGAAAAACCTGAAGGTCAGGTTGCTAAATGATTAGTAAGGATGGGAACCAGGAGGCACATTTTTCTGTCCCTGAGGGTGGAATCTGATGTTATAAAAGGCACAGGCCTGTGGCTGAAATTGGCATACCGTGCTGAGCTCTTTCCTTCCCCACCTGGGAACATAAAAATAATCATGCTAGAGCAGACCATGAATCCATCTCATCCAGTGCTCTGTTCACACAGCGGCCAACCAGCTGTTCACTGGGACTTATAAGCAGGACAGGAGTACTTCTGCAACCTCCTGCCCATGTTCTCCAGGAACAGGTGTCCGCAGACACACTGCCTCTGCTACTGGGTGCAGCATAGAGCTGACAGGACAAGCGGCCATTGAGCCTTGCCTTTTATGAATCTGTCTATCCCACTTTAAAGCTGTCTAAACTGGTGGCCATCAATTCATCTTGTGGAAATGAGTTCCATAGTTGAACCTGTATAACAGAACTTTCCCCATTATCATTAAGCTGCCTTTCTTCCTGCCCCACCACCAACAGCATGTAGGGACAAGGAAACAAATACTGCGATGATGACACAACACAGGTTAAGGTTGTACTATAGATTACAGGGAAATGGAGGTGGGGGAACTTGATACGGGGTTTCTGTTTTTGGCAGCAGCCCCACTGCTTTCACAACTTCCAGTTTCCTCCTGGGAAGCATGACAAAGTTAATCCCTGTTCTGCCCTGAAAGCTAATATACTAATTAGGATGAACTTGCACAGACATGTGTGCAATGTTAGTCTCCTACTGATGAATTCGCAGATCACACTGACATGGTTCAAAGATCTATGGAACAGGGCAGGAACGTAAGGATGACGACAATGATGCTCCTATCTAAGGGAAACATACTCTGTTGCCAGCAACCAGCTCACGCTCGCCCACATTGCAGACAATCTCCCCAGATTCACAATCCAAACGGAAATATAGGGACCTACCACAGCCACAAGTTTTGGTAGATCATGCCCCTTGGGCGGTGATGTGATAACAACTGCCAGATCTTTCCAATGAGTGTTGTGTTTATTATTGTACCTACTCCCAGTAGGAAGCGTGACATTCATCAGAAAAAACTGGAATGATCTAGTACTCATTTGAAATTGTTACTAAAGTATATTTCTATAAGATACTTGAGAAAAATGTTTTGAAAGTAAGATTTTTGTTCTTAAAATAAAAGCAGTACTGGTCTGAGAAAACATTTCTCATAACAATTTATTTGTTGGTATTAGCATCACAAGTTAAGATTTCCTTTGGCGTCAGTAAACTAAATTTTATACTGAAAATAACAAAAACCACAGAGAAGTTATTTTCCCAGTCATGTCTGCAATTCTTTACCCTTTGAATTACATAAGTCTCTATGTTATGACATTCTATTCCTGTTTTCATTTGTCTTTGCCAAAAGAGAGTCTACAAAATCTTCATTCGAATTGGTTCTCTCTGGAATTCTGATACTGAGTATTTTCACATGAATTTATAAGATAAGCTTAAAGTATACAGGAGAATGTCTTTAAATTGTCCAGTACCAGCCTTTGAAGTCCTTCAGATAGCCTGTTGAGATATGTCAGTGCAAAACTGTATGTTATACACAAACACATTCTTTTAAACCCCAATGGGCCAAATGTACCACATACTGCTCTAAACCCAAGTCTACCATCTTGTGGAAGAAGAAAAGTGACTTAGAGGAGTGGTAGCAAGAAAAAAATTGAGTAAGAAAGGAGTTAAGCAACATATCTGCTCCTACTTCCATGCTGAAAGTTTTCCCTCACCCAAAGCAGAGTACTACTAGAAGTATCATTTTTGCATTATAATACCCCACTGTATAAGAATTAGGCAAAATTGTATGTCTGTGGTGAGGAATTAACTTAGGCGGGAAACATAAGCCACATATATGGAGGAAACATAAGCATAGTAAAGTCAGAGCTTTACCAATTTTTCACTGACTAAAATTGCAAGGTAAGTCAAAGAGGGCTTTGGGGAAAGCCCAAACATAGCCATGTCCCTTTCTTGTTTCTTTTATAGCTCTTGTATTCTTCTGCCCCTTTACAATGCCACTTATTCATTCTGAGGTTTTTTAATGTGTGTGTGATGACACCACAGTGCTAATGTAGCCAGTGAAATTTGGCTGTGTGGTATCATTGGTGAGGACAAATGAAGCAACATTATTTTTCTTGAGATGAGAAGAAAATGCTTCTCTGTATTACCAAAGCAAGCAGGTGATACCTGAGGACATGTTTACTGCCTTGCCATACTGTGCTGCAAGGATGGGTAATAGCACAACCACAACACAGTGTGAAAGACAGCACAGTACAGACAAGAATATAAGAAGCAGTTCCTGCTATGGTGTTTTCAACATCACAGCCCATAATTCCTCTGTCCTGGGAGGTCAAGTGATGCCCAAAGGACAATTTGATACCACTTTGGTATAAAGTTCTGTCTTTCCTCAGTCTTGGCAAGATGAGCCTATAGCTCATTTTTGACCTCTCTCCTGCCACCAAATACACTCCCATTCCAGGGTCTCTATTTCTGACAAAACCAGAAGCAATCACCAATAGTAATGGATCTACAAATCCTGACCCCATCACCTCAGACAGAAGGGCTGTGACACACGGGGTTGTCTCTTGCCTTAATGTATATGGAATATATATGGTGCTTGTGGTCCTTACCCCTCTGTGAAGCAATTACTTCATGTTCATCTGTGTATTCCCCTATCTTTTGCACTGTATTTTCTATGACACAGAACAAATGAGTCAGAAACCAAAAGGGTCATGAGATGGGTGAGCCAAATAATGATATAATCTGAATGACTATGTTAGTATGCAAATAACCAAGCAAGCAAAAGCTAGGGCACTAAGAAGGAAACACAGCAATGGAAAAGAAGGTAACAGGATTAGAGGTGTAGAGGGAAAGTGTAACTTAGATAACATGAAAGTTTTTGAAATGACATTGCCTGGTGGCTATGCATAGCCTGTACCTCAGTGTCAAAACCAACTTAACTGTGGCCATCTTTTTCCAGAAATGAGGACTTGTGGAAACAAGAACTCTTATAAAAGGCCAGCCAGAAAAAGGTACATTTAAATGATTACAGAGAAAGTGAAGAGAGAACAGATCACAGCTAGATCATCATGACAAAAACTGTACAGCACTTTCATGTATACCTTGGAAATGGAACGATGCAACTTAGTTCTAAATGCACTACAGTCCAGCAAAAGATAATGCAGAAGAGCAAGTGCGGCGGCGGCAGCAATGGGAGCAAAGAATGATAAGCACTTCTTGTGTACAACAGATACAGCAAACAAAACACCAGTCACCATCTTGTTGATACTTCCAGACCTCTTCCAGCTGCTTTGCAAGAAGAGCAGCTTTATGCTACTTTCCAGGAGGAGCTTTCTGACTGAGCCAGTGTGCAAACTAGTACTGTGTGAGGCCAATAATCACAGCAGGAAGGCATTAAAGAAGCGGCAAGTGCAGGCACACACTTTTCCCACTCCATTCCTACATTCGAGAAGCTCACATGGTAGCTATTCATCTGTGTGAACTCCTCTTCACACATTGTATTTTTCAGTTGCACACCTGGAATTTTTTAGGCTGACACCTAGCAATGTTAAGTGTGAATATGAAAAATGTATATGTGTATCTCTGGAAGAAAAATATTATACGGACAATATTTTCATAAAGATATGATGGACTGCATTTCCCTCTTAAGAGTGCACTCAAGGCAACCGCTATTTACAGGTCTTCTCTTACCCTGAATGTAAATCTCATGGACATCTGCCTTGCATGCTGCCAAGCACCATTTTGTCTCTGACTTCAGACGTTTCATCTGCACCGTATCTGTGTGTAAAACTTCCACTGAATGTTGGCCTGTCTTTCATGGTAGAGGCTCAGATCTGAAGTAGGCTATCAATTGCACAGTTTAAGACTAATGTTGTTGGCTATTTTGCATATAAGTCCTGTAAGGTATAGCTTTTATATCACCTGAAGTTCCTGTTCCTGCCTAATCTTGGAAGCTAAGCAGGGTTGGGCCTGGTTGAAATCTGGAGGGGGGCCTTAGTGTTGTGAACTACTCAGAAAGCTTTGTCTACAAGCTTTGTCCAATGTTACTCCTGAAATCAATGGAACAAGTGTACTAATTCGATGAGGGAGGGAGGAAGTGAAAAAATAACAATATAATTACCATTATGTGACATTCCAACTGCAAGGCATTTCTGAAATCTGCAGTATTGACATTTATTTCTGCTTTTCTTATAGATGCGGCAGTTGAGATCACACCGATCATAGATTAACTTTAATCGTATTGTCCTGCGAAAGAAACCCTTCAACACAAATAAGGAAATAGGAAAAATATTAGTCATAAAGAACCTTTCATCGTGCAGTATCCCATGCTGTTGTCCCTCAGACATTAGCAATGCTCCCGGAGCAACTCAGTCTTTCTGCCTGCACATCCTGTCCAGCATGTACAGGTGCAATGCACAACCACGTACACAGCTGTGCTTGAAACGAACAAGATTCTCCTCTTGTACACAGTTCAGAACCTAGTTTCCCTAACATAGTATCATTTGTACTAATATAATAACTCAGCTGGATACTGGCCATTTTTTTCTGCTTTCTTTGGGAGACAAATCTGTACCCATTTTCTACACTTTCTTCTACCACAAGATATAAGGGATAGTTCATCACCTTTATAAAACCCTGATTATTCACATTTTACACAGAACCATTGAGTATTTTCCAAGCTAGATTTGCATTTATTTAAACACAAGTTCTCTTAGTTTCAACAGGAATAAGTCAGTGATGAGGAACCTGTGGCCCTCCATGAGAAGCTTTCTCACAATTCCTGGTCACTGGCCATGCTGGTTGGATGAATCCAACAGTACTGGAAGGTCCAGATTCCCAATGCCTGCAATGCAAGTTTTGAAATGACAAAAAACGCTTTCTTTTTTGTTTAAAAGATCACATTACCTACCTTGCAGCCTTCACATGCATGTACCCCGTAATGAAACCCAGAAGCTTTGTCTCCACACACTCGGCATTCAATAGCCATCAGGGAATTTGAAGTTTCTTCATAAGGTTTATTGTACATCTGAACTTTTTCTGAGTAGTATGGTGGAGAAGGAGGTTCCATCTTGATAGCATCTGAAGTACAGAATGATTTCCAAAGAGCAGTTAGTTATAATAATTATTACTACATTGCATTTAAATCCTACCTTTTTTCCTCTTGTGAAGAATCAGAAGTGGCTTACATAGTTACTCCATTTTACCCTTGCAACAAGAATCTGTGAGGTTGGTGAGAGTAAGTGACTGACCCAAAGCTACGCAGTGAGCTTCATGGCGAGTGGAGACTAGAACCTGGATCTCCCCAGTTCCTAGTCCAACAATCCCACAATACACTTAACGTTGACATTTTCTCAACACAGGCAAGCTTGGCAACACATATCTCTAAATATAATTACCTGTCTTGAATAAATTCAGGCTTCAGATTGGGAAAAATCCTCAAAATACATTTAGCCAAGTGTTATTAGAGGTTTCTGGTTAAGAGCCTGAACAGACTGCTGGAAATCCTTACTCTCAGTCATGAACTCACTGGATAGCCTTGGACAAGCCACTGGCTGGATCAGTCACCATGACCAAATCATGACTTGGCCTTCATAAATGAAACACAGGCTCCTGAACACATACTCTTCTTCTTCCCTCCTTCTCCCATGTGCTCTGATCCCCTTCTTCACAGCTTTGTTTATGGTAACCATAGCATGAGGAGACATTCAAACTGGAAAAAGACCATGGCTGCTGAAAATTAAGAGCTAGCCTCTAAACCAGACCAGGACATCCAGTTCAAACCATAATTTCAACTGTTATAAACACAGGCCGATTGTGGAAATCAGGAAGGAAGGAAAGGATGTGTAGCATGGTGCCAATGGCCAAATTAATGTTGGTATCAAAAGCAAGCAATGGCGGCATCTAACCCCGCTTCCCTGCCGCCGCCACCACTATGTAATGTGTTCAACTCTTTTAGCTTTCCTATAATGATTCCAGATAATAGCTATACAGCACTCTTTGAGAATCTGTGGTATCCTGCGTCTGGGAAGTGTTATGCCTGATGCCCAGAATAATAAGAGTGGTATTATTTGATCACTTCATGTTGAACATTTTGTGTATCCAACAGTGTGGGCCAGCAAGTTGCATTTGAAAGCTGGGGAGCATAGAGCGGAGGTAGAATTGGAAGGGGCCTACAGGGGCACTGTACATGCGGTCACCCACCTGGCTGCATGCCCGCACCCTTCCAGCTTAGCAAAGGTGGCTCAACATGCTGGCTCAATGGGTAGTTATGCAGACAGGTAATAATCCATTTGTTGCAAGGGTTACTATTGAGATGTAACTGACATGCCTAAGTTCTTTAATTCCATTAGAGCAATTAATAGTAATAATAAGAGTAAAATAACAGTAACAATAACATGAGATCTAATAATTATCTAATTATTGGTAAAACATAAACACATTAAAATATTTTTAATAAACCAATATGATTCTCAGGGCACCTTTCAACAAACACTGCATATTTTCCTCCTTAGACTGTGGCAAATATTTTATTGCCAGGTGTTCCCAAAGTCTTTCAGTTCTTGGTAATTTCCAATCAACCTGCTCTAACTGGCTTTCATGTTTGCAACAAAGAACTCTCCTTAATCAATATGGGCTAGTTATTGTGTTCTGTTTTTAGTAAAGCTATGAGCAAGGCATGTCTGTGAAACAGTGGAAAATCGAGATCTACTTTCCAAAAGTTAAAACCAGGCAACACCACATTCTTGATGTACTTTGGCATTTGAAACTTGGAAGAGCACTGGGAGTGGATACTGCTCCCTATGACTTTGTTTTGTCTGCATTTGCTTGGTTACATGCATCAGCTATGATGGAGACCTACATTTTGTGCTTCCCTATTATTGGGCAAATTTGCTCCAAAAGGAGTAAGTCACTGTTACATTAGTGACACAATCTTACCTACTATAGCTCTGGTATACTCCTGTCCATACTAACTATACATACTAATAGTGACTTAATGTATTTTAACAACTCAATTTATTGGGATTAATTCAAGCACAGCACATGAATATCCTCTTTTCAACTGAATTCCTGAAGGTGAGGGAAGTTATAGCTTTATTCCTTGTTAATTATTGTAAATAGGGGGAAAGGGTGATAAACATTTTCCAGACAAATACAATTTCTAATATTTCTTGAATGTTTTGTCATAGTCAAAAAAAATCTTAAAGGTAAAATGGCTGAGTTGGGTTACCCAGCCATTTTAGCAGTAAGTTATTTTTGCTGCCATAGAGAATAGAAAATGAAGCACAAGCCACGGGACAGATCAGTTTACAGCTAGAGCAGCTTCCATTTCTCATTCAGTTAGGGCTGAGGAATCTGCAGCCTTCCAGATGTGGGACTACAACTCCCGTCAGAACCAGCCAGCACAGTCCATCATTGGGGAGAATGGAGATGTAGTAAAGCAACTGGCTCTCAATCCATGTCCCAGCTGAAGAAATTATGATGATCAACTGAGGGGGAGAGGAATTACAATAATAGCTACACCCAGTCTCCTTCTCTCACACAATCATGCCGCCATGACAAAGAAGACAAAGAGCAGCATCTTCCATATCCCATATTATCTAAAAATGGAGAGCTTCATGAATGATAAAATATGTTGTGAGCCGCCCCGAGGCTTCGGCAAGGGGCGGCATAGAAATGTTTTAATAAATTAAAAAAATAAAATAAAATAGAGACTTTTTAAACTAAAGCTGAAAACATTTTGTTTCAGTTATATCTTTGAAAATGAGAGATGCTGAAGCACCCTCCCAAAGCTTATAAAATATAAAACAGTAAAAAGCCTGTCTTACTTTGGCACTCTTGAAACTTCATATCGTATTTGTAGTCAATGGCCATCTGGTCAGTTCTTGCAAGAGGAAGGTCCTCATAATGTGGTGAAGAAAGAGTAGAAAAATCAACTGTGGTAAAGGGCTTTATGTCAAAGGAATGGGAGTGGTCGTCCATGGCAGAAAGGTCCACAGGGCTGATTCCAAAGTTCATGGGCCAAAACGGCATTTCTGTGTCAACCATTGTCAACCCTGAAACAAAGAACGAAACAAAGAAGCAAACAAACAAATGAGATCCAGAGCTTAGGAAAGACAACTGTACATCAATATACTTCCTTAATACAGCACGGGGACGTGGAAAGTAGATGAAAGCAAATTACAAAAACTTGACTGAAGTGAGCAGATGCCTATGCCAAGAGCTACAAACATCTTTAAAAGTGCCCATCATCATCATCATCATCATCATCACCATCATCATCTTGTGCCTATTCACAATACTGGGCATCTTACAACATTAAAAGAATGAACAATAAAAACATTAATGGAAATATTCAAGAATTAAAAATATACATAAAATCACTGTAATATTAGAAGTATTTAAAATGCCAACATCAAAAGAGCAGTTGTATGCAGTCTGCTTTGCAGTTCATACAGAAGAGCACTACTTGGGAAAAAAGGCAAAAGCCTAGAATAAACCTTATTTATTGGATACCAGCCAATGTTTGTACCCTAAAAATTTCTAGTATGAGAAGATGAAGAATAAAGCAAGGCCAAAGCACAGTTTTGGTTGTTGATCTATTGCCATTTTTTAAAAAAGTACTATAGAAAAAGTCTATACCTCAGAAAGGAGACCTTTGTTTCTTATGCTGACTGATGGTTTTAATTTATCTACCACAGTATTTCTCTTCATTATTTTGGATTCTTCTAATTCTTTTAATTGGAAAAATGGTTTGAAAGGTATTTTAATGTTGTTTATCACCATGAACACTATTTTATACAAAAAAGATAGGATATAAACTATTTCACTACATAAACAAATAAATGCAGAATTAGGGAAACAGAGTAAAGATGCACAGGCTATATCCAGACTGACATGAAACTACATAATTTTCTTCTCATTCTGTCCTACATTGCAGTAATCATCTCACTTCACTATAGTTTACACAGGCAATACGATACAGCCAATGTTATTTTCTTTTTTCTCATTTGTTTGTATATAAGTCTCAATGGATGAAAAAGATTGTGACTGCCCATGTCTTGTTGTATTATTGCTCTTGTGTTACTAAAATGCTTTACATTAACTACATAGCTTTGTCCTGGCATATATTTTATTGGCGTATCAAAGAAAGCTTTGGGATTTGATTTAGAAAGGAAAAGCAAATTATCATCATGGCTTGTTCCTGGCTGATGTTGGAGTTGTTTGCCCTTGAACAAAGGATTCAAAGGTTAAGCAACTCCAACTCCCCTATTCAGGTATCACAGATACAAAGACTGTTAATACAACAGGACACCGCTTCAGCATGGTACGTGTCTCTGAACTTCTTGGGCTAATTAACCTAAGATTTGCCATCAAATGCTACCATGACACCCAAACAGGCCCAAACAGTGAATGGACACTGGTGACTTTTACTGGTGCTGGTGCATGTCTACTGATAAATCCCATATTACATCTCAATGCAAATTAAATTACTAACAAAATTTTTCACCTTACATTAACTTCTGTGTGAATTATAATGCAAATCTGTTGCTGCTGCTGGTGGTGTTGTTTTTAAATAGTTATTATTATACCAAGTCTGCTAGGTTAAGGACCAAAAATAATTACATGTATTTAGGGAGTAAATAGATAATACAACAAAGCAATACCTAAGTACAATTCACAAGGAAGTTTGTCACTGTAGTTCTATACAACTCTCTTTAACTGCAATGGGTATTGAGAAATGGATAAATCCAGATTAGAGCCACCGTGACTTTTAGAAAAGCAGCTTTCCTTGGGCATTGCATTTAAACTTGGACTTTACACCTTTATATAATAAGAACCATTTCATGCTGTTTACCCTGAGCCGGCGACCACGGCCCTGTCTTTTTGCCCAAAAGCTGTTCTTTAAAAATGCAGCAATATTTTATCACTCTTAGGACTATAAGAATAAACAGGAGAGGCTTGTTTCAACTTTTAACTTCCTCCGTGACATATGCAAACATTTCACAGTGGCTGTTGTCACTGCAAAAGCAGCAGATGCACTCTGTGACCTGGGTGAGTCTAGGCATGCCCTGGAGTTTGCAATCCTAAATTTACTCATTTGGGAATAAAACCCCATTAAAATCAATTGGAGATTTTTAGATTAAACATGCCCAAGAGCAGGTTGGAAGCATCTTTTTTATGATTATGACATTTTCTTCAGAAGAAGCACTAAGTACACAGGAAGTGCGTATGTTGTACAATACTTCTGACTGCTGCTACCATCATTGAACAAAGATGATTTAACAAGTTCAGGAAATTTTGAGGCAAAATTGGCACAGGAGCTCAAAAATGCAAAAGGGAAAAGAGAGACACTTCAGAATAATGCATGTCAAGGGATTTCACAGCCATTCCCTATCTTTGTTAACAAACCTAAATGAAAAGGCCCTGCCTTAAGAACACACCAATCCAGTCTCTCTAGGTGGTGGGACATATACCAGTTCCTCCACTGATCACTGTAAATTTTGGGTAGGTTCATGTGAAAGGAGAAAGTCTTCAGATCCCTGGCATGCAGACTACAACTCTGCTTCACAAAGCTTGTGGATGGAGCCACTGATGCTGGCACTTCAACCCCTTGGTCTGTTCAAGATATAGCCACTGTTTAAGACAAATTGATAACCAGCACTTTATAATATTTCCTGACTAGTTTCAAGGCAAATGACTGACCATGATGAGTGGAAAGCATTGCTGGATCACCATATTCTTTTTGTCACATCTTGAGAAATCGGAAAGGGCAAGACTGCATGAAAGTTTAAGACAAAAATTATTCATGTTATAGCAGGCCTTTTTCTGTCTAAGCAAGAATGTTCTTGAAAATTGCTCTGGAGTTTGTTTACACTCCTATACTTTAAGCATTTAAGGATTCAATCCTATGGTCATCAAGGCAGAGTCTAGATGGTCACAGGATAATTCAGAGTCCCATCTCTGACTGCCGAGATGAGCTTGGACGGTGGAGTTGGAGTGCCCTTCCCCACTTCCACACTGGCAGATGGGCCTACAAGGCCAGGGAGGGGAGGGGAGAGGAAAGCACAGCATATGAAGTCTCCTGGGAGTGCCCCTTTCCTCTCCTCTCCTCGGCTCGCCCTCTGAAGCACCACACTTACACAACCACAATCAGTCACATAAATGGGATATGATGGGAAGAGGAGAGAGGTGGCCTTAATCTCCACACTCCTGCACCATGTACAGATTGCCTATAATTCTGCAAGTTTGGAGAGCTACAGGGAATCATTGGATTGTATTGCAAGGGTTTTGCTATTTATTATTACAAATAAAAAGCCAGCTTTTTTTCTTTAAAAACAACAGCATGTGCGCTGAAGCTCCTGTATTCATGGCCTTTCAGTTGCTTCAATTTATTTTGTCTGTAATTCTTTTCCATCTGTATGATATCGGTGAGATGGTGGCATTGATCCAATTCCCCCCACTGCCCAGAAGTAAAATCTAACAGCCATGGCTCCAAAAGGAAAGTGCTAGTACTTGAACAGAACTGCTCAGGTTATTGAAGTTGGACAACCTCAAATAAGAGGAATAATCTTTCTTTATATGCCTGTAGATCTTAGGGGCTTGGTTTTGTTTTGAGCACACTGAGAGATATTATAGGCATGCCAATGCTATGCTCAGAGCTTCTGTGCCAGGACTGAAGTAGACATACTGTGTAATGTGATCCTTTGCAAAACAGTACTGATGAAGCAAAATATCAGCAAAAGGAACAGCACTAGTAGCACTTTTGGAGAACTTCTGTATCAACCGTGGGTTCAAATGGGTTCAAATTTCTATGACATGGATCTGAGGAGTCTAAAGTAAATTGTTTCTTTTCAAGTTGGGTGGATTCTTGTCAACCTTTTTTTTAAACAGGGAGGGGATTTTTGCATATTTGCACTTGTGCTAAAATGAACTTGCAACCATCAGAACAAAGTTCTTTCACGGTCATAAAAGAAATCTGTTTCCATCAATGAATGAATGGTGGAACAAAAGACACTTGATCATCCATGAAACCAAAATGGAATGGAATTAACAAAATCAGTACATTCCTGCATGGAAGAGCTTTGGCTAAGAGTGTACTAGAGAAATTAAATAAATAAGGGCACCAGCAATGTACAGTGATGGCTGGAGCATCATCGCCGTAGCCTGCACTTGCCTTGTCCTCACATATGCACTATCTGGCCACAGTCTCATTCCCTGCCCAGGCCTCCTCGGCTCCAGCAATCAGGAAACATGCATAAAGTCCCCACAGGCTCCTCAGAAGGTTTCAGCCTCACAGAAATACACTTAATTATACACACTGCAAATAACACTATGCATAGCACATATAAACTGGTATCTATGGAAGTGGAACGAAGGGAGAGATGCAGGAATGGATGTGATTGCACTGCCAGAGGTCAATACTGTGGATAGCCCAGGAACTTTCTGGAAAAAGGCAGGCAGTGGGAAACCCAAGGTGTCTTGTTTAAATCCCATGCTTGGGAAATCCACACACAGTTTACACAGTGCAAAGTCTACCCTTTGGATTTCTTCTGGCAACAGGAACAGAAGAAAGAAAGGCTTTGCCATGTAGTATGGTCTAAGTGGCTTGCAATCTATGCAAGGTTAGAACCAACAGCAACATAATATTGGTACCTGAAACTGGCATGCTGATCTCTAAGAATCTGCAGTATTTTTTCTTTCTCCCTAAGAGCCATAGAAACTGTCTTGCAAATGTGTCTAGATGACATGCTCATGCAGAAATTTTAAAATATGCACATATACTCAACATGATGTATACAAGAACCTTTATAGGAATCAGAGCTGTGACACAAAAGCAGAACAAGGTGTTTTTTTTTTTATAAAAAGTAATATATGTTTACCAAGAACCATATGAAGATATTTGATATTAGCTCAGATGAGCTGTCAGCCTTCATTCCCAGTATCATTGCTAACTGAATTTAGAGATGATTGAAGAAAAGTCTCTTCTATCTTGTAAAAGATGCCACCATCCCTTCTAATACCAAACTTGTATGCTTCCAGGCCTATCACTCTG